GTGAGTGCTGTGAAGTGTGTAAACCTGGCGATTCACAGCACTCACCACAGCACATACCCTCCCCAATGTCCATAACCCCACCTCCCTCTCCCAATCCCCCTCCCCCCATCAACCCTCAGTTTGTTTTGTGAGATTAAGAGTCACTTATGGTTTGTCTCCCTCCCAATCCCATCTTGTTTCATAGATGGAATTAAATTTTTATAACCTGATACAGAAATTAACTTAGAACAGTGACCGAGCAGTGAATCAGTAAATGTCAATGTGTCCAAAATGACCAAAACCTTGAAATAAAAAGAAGAGGCACATTAAATTAAATATTAAATACTGGGTGTTAGCAAAACCATAACATTATTTTTAGGAAAAGAATGAAATCAGAATTTTCCCAAAATATATTACACAGAACCTGAGTCTCCAAATATTTACCATGATACGATAGTTCCAAGGTCACACACGTTTGGAAAATCTTGCACACCATATTCACCCTTAAATATTTACTGTAAACATTACCATAAAATATACTCCCAAAAAATATATATAATATATACACTCTGAAAAATTCCATAATAAAAAAGATCAGCTTTAATGAAAGGAGAGTTTCCCAAACTTATGACCATGGGACATCACAAAATGTCCTAGAGAGCCAAGGACACACTGGGGAACACTACACTTCGGAAAAAGTTTTTCAAGGAGAAACAAAGAGTTTCAGTGCAATCACAAGAAAGTATAAACTACAGAAATACAAAAATACAAACCTTCAGGTGAAGTTTTTGAAGAATTCGGGTGAGCAATCGTGGAAATCTTCCTATATCTATTGCATTTAGCAGCGACACTGCTTTTTTCATGCTAAATAAATTTGTAAAACAAAATTTTAAAATGAGTTTTAAAATGAGTGAACTGTTCTTGCCCTAAGTACACTTGTCTACAATTGCTGTTGTCTCAAAATTTCCATTTCAACAACTCTGATTGCTATAAAGAAGTCCAAATGATGGCCCGCAAAAGAGGCAGGACGATTCCAAAAAGATGCCTCCCAAAAGTACTTGTCCATTTGGAAAGTTTCTCTTTCTTTGGGGGCAAGGCCCGCAACTAGAGGAAGCTTGCACTTTGTGGGGGATGGCATTAACTCAGCAGTGAGTATTTACTAACCCTAACCCACAGAGGAACTATGGAAAGAATGGAAAGAGGAAAGTGGGATTGACACCAAAATACAAAAAAAGAATGCTGCATGGCAGGTAATGGAATAAATACATATAAGGCTAAGTCAGTTGGGGTAACAGTACACAGTTGTTTTAAAACTGTGCCTCAACGGTAATAATCAACTTTAAATTATCATACTGGTTATGGCTTACTCATGTGGTGGGTGTTAAACAGGACACTGATGTGAGGGGAGAAACTGGGCGTCAGGACTCAAGGAATCCAGAAACAAGGAAGAACTCTGAAATGACAATTCTCTTCTTCAAGAACATCCCTGTCCAATTCAGGGACATGGAAAGTACTTCCCAAAACCTCAGCACTTCTTCCGCATCCGCACACTACCTGCCCTAGTATTTATTTTTCATGAAATGGGAGTCATTCCTATTTAAGTAACTGCATTTTAACAGAGAACTTTCTATCACCACTTTGGGACCCCGACCTTACCTACCATTAAGTAGAAATGAACTAAAAATAAATAAAATGAAATCCAAAGCCATGTTACCAGACTCTGGCTTGATACTGTTACCAGCCCCAAACTCCCAACCTGAGGACTATTCTCTCTTGATTGAAAAGGGATACTGACACCCGTTACGGATTAAAGACCGTCCAGCCCCACGGCAAGCCTTTCTCATACTCAGGCCTGAGAGCGAGCGGAAAACAAAAAAAGGGCATAGCTTTGCACATGATTCGGCACTACTCCGGGCGGGCGTGGGCACTTTAGACCCCACACTCTGGGAACGGTGACACACACCACACGCTGTCCTACTGACCCCAGGTGCCAGGCCCTGGAGCCCCAGGGAGGTGAACCACCGAGAGGGTGAGACGCCCACAGCCCCCGGCACTCCCGCGGGGCCGCACCACGACTTCGCCAGCTCCGCGCCCACCCCCCACCGCCGGGCCCCGCCTCGGAGCCAAGGCGACAGCCAGCTGGAGCGTCCCGGCGGCGCCCGGTCCGTGCCACCCCTGGGCGGCTACCTGGGGCTCTCCGGCAGGATCAGCGCCGTGGCGGCCGCCATCCTTGAAGCTCCCTCGCCTGCCTCCGCCTGTCAGCTGCCTCCAGCCCAGCCAATGACCGCAGGCCTACGGAAGGCCGGAAGGCCCAAGCCGCGCCGCCTCCGCCTTCGCCTCTGGACTCTTTTTTTTTTTTTTTTTTTTAAATTTTTTTGTTTTTTTTTTTTTATTTGTCAGAGAGAGAGAGAGAGAGCAAGCACAGGCAGACAGAATGGCAGGCAGAGGCAGAGGGAGAAGCAGGCTCCCTGATGAGCAAGGAGCCCGATGTGGGACTCGATCCCAGGACGCTGGGATCATGACCTGAGCCGAAGGCAGCTGCTTAACCCACTGAGCCACCCAGGCGTCCCCGCCTCTGGACTCTTGAGTGAATTCCGTGCTCGGTCTTCCAGGGAAGAGGGACCCTCCTCGTTGTCTTCCGCCGCTGTCACTGTTCTGCCTCAAGCCTGTTCGCCTATGAACTTATTTATATTTACCTATTTGCCTATTATCCATGCACAGCGGACCCTTGAACAACGAGCGGCTAAGGTTGCCCACCCTGCCTCAAGTCAAAAATCCACATGGAACTTTTGAATCCCCCCAAAACTTAAGTATGAACAGCCACCTGTTGGCTGGACGCCTTGCCTTACCGGTAACAGTCGGTACGTGTATTGTGCATGCTGTATTTATTATATACTGCATTATTACAATAACATAAGCGGAAGAAAGCTGGGGAAAAGACGATGTTATTGAGAAAACCGTAAGGAAAATACATGACGGTGCTGTACTCTATCAAAAGAATCCGAGCAGGAGTGGGCCCGCACAGCTCACACCTGTGTTGTGCCAGGGTCAGCTGTGCATATATCTGGATATGGGCATGTATTTTTACGTCGTTGGCACGTATGAGCATCTATTTAGGTGCGTGTACATATACACAAATTTTTTTTTTAACAGAGGGACTTTAAGCACCCACAATAGCTAGTGTCTAGCCTGCGCTGCAGAGGGGAAGGCCGTGAAACGCTCTCCCTGAAAGCAGCCTGGATGTCACACATCCACCCACTGGAGAGGTCATGCCACCAGCTCCAGCCTCGGCGCTTCCTGTATCTGTATCCCTGTATTCATTGAGCACCTACTGTATACCAGATACTGTGCTAGGCACTTGGGACCGAAAAGACCAAAATTCCTGCCCTCGGGGTTTGCTCGCAGTTCAAACAGACGTTTCATTGCGCCCCTCTGCGGTGCGGTGCTGAGCTAGGTACTGCTTCGTAGGAGACACTCAGCCCCGCAGAGACTGCCATTTAGAACCTCACAGTAGAGCAGGGACACAACGTGGGTTCACGAATACGTTTGCCCGCCTCAGAGAAAAACATGAAGGGCCCTCCTGGGATTCAGTGATGGGAAGAGTGGTAAGCAGGGGGGATAGGTTCGGGAAAATTTCCTGTTGCAGGTGGCTTGAGGTCTTGAAGGAGAGATTGGGGCATGTGCCCTGGAGCTTAGGGAGAAATGGGGAGTCATTAATGTTTTTTCTTTTCTTTCTTTTTTTTAAAGATTTTATTTATTTATTGGACAGAGAGAGAGAGCACAAGCAGGGAGAGGGAGATGAAGATTCTTCGCTGAGCAGGGAGCCCCATGCAGGGGGGGCTCGATTCCAGAACCCTGGGATCATGACCTGAGCACCCTTAACCAACTGAGCCAGTCTGGCGCCCCCATTAATGTTTTCAAGCAGAGAAATTTTTGTGATGAGAGCTGCTGTCCTTTTTTTTTTTTTTGGTCTTCTTTTTGGTTTTTGTCTTTTGAAAATTACTATCAGTGGAATGATGATTGGATTGGAAAGAGGTAAGCAGAAAGTCAAACAGGGAACTATTGCAATAATCTATGGAAAGGAGTAAAATCCCATGGTAGTAAAATAGCTTTGTAGAGTGAAAAAATACAGTGAGTGAGTTGTGTTACATTTCAGCTGTGGACTCTTTGGGAGCTGGCAAAAGATTGAATTTAATTTTCCTACCTAATTATGTTTTACTTAAATTATTATTTAAATTAGTTGGCATTCCTAGAGCAGCCCCAAAAACATCCTAACTGAAAGGAGAAGCCAGATTGCAAATTAAAAGTGAATAATCCCCATATGGATAATTGAGTCAATTATACAGTGTGTTGAACACATACAAATACATTTAATTCCACAACACTCCACACACTCCCCAATTTGTGCAGTGTCTGAAAAAGATGTATGCAAATCTACATAAATTATAGGTCTCTGATACAAACACAGATTACTATACCTGGCATAATTTTAGAAGGACCCCAGTTTCCCTCAACTTCTGAATAAGTTCCCTTTCGTCTTCATTCATTGCCTGAAGCAGGGCTACCACCCCTCTAAAACCATTTGGAATCGCTAGTGAAATTTACCTCCTCGGTTCCTTCACAACCACAGCTGGGATTTTGAGAGAAATGGCATCAAGATGGTTGGAGCCCTGAATCCATGTAACTTGGAACAAAGCACTTTTCCTCCCTTAAATTTCTTATTCATGTCTTATAATGTCTGTGTTGGCTTCCCTGGGCTGTGGTAAGAATTAAACAGTGTCACGTGTGTATGGGAGAAGCACTCTCCCCTCCTCATAACTCAAAGCACAGACTTCCAGGGTTTTGGGGGGAAAAAAAAAAAGTCTCCAGGATTTTTCTTGGTTTCACTGATGGGGGTTATCACTTTTTATTGGTACTTGTTGCTATAAAGGCTTGAGGCAGAGAATAATTTCACCCCTTAAGTGAGACCCTCAGCCAAAATATTTCTGTGGTCTCTGGCGTATACGCATACGGATCTATGAAGAAGTCCTTTATAGTTGTCTATCTGTGGCCACCTGCTAGAGACAGGATACATATCTCCTTGAAACATGGTTCCATAGTACACTGTACCCCTAACCCTCAAACCTGTCAACTCATCTTGATGATGGATCCGTAGACCAGATCAGCTGCCCCTGATCGGTTAGGACTATGACACATACTGAGTGCCCCCCAGTTTCTTCTATATCCTTGCCTTCGTTGCAACTTTTGCCAAATCCAACTTTTTTGTTGTTGTTCTGTGTTAATCTGCGTTCTCTAGAAAACAGCCTGAATTACCTGCTAGGGCATCACTGGGGACGGTCATTGCAGGGAATTAGGAGTGTGCGTGCAAAAGGGAAGGAAGGAAAGAAGGGAAGCAAATACAAGGTGGCGTGTTATCTAGCTGGTTCCAGATTGAAAACCTTGTGTATTTCTCAGTACTGTCATATTTCCAGAAACACTATTTCGAGGTACTGTGTCTTAGAACAGCCAGGAGGTGGGAAGGAGCAAATTTGTCTACAGACTCTTTCCAGTCTTCTGTCTCTTGTTGATCAAAATTTGTCCCATGGCTCAGACCTCCTCTGGACTCCTGGGGTATGTCCCCTGGCACCTGTAGGCATTCACTGGAAAACCCAGAGTAGGATCTGATTCCCAAACCTATAGCAGAGGTGAGCTCAGGGCTCAATCCCTCCCCATCCCTCTCTCCAGATGTCTCCTCTCCCACCCACCCCTCACCAGCCAAGGGTGGGAGCAAGTGGCAGGGGCCCTAAAACAGTTCTAAGTTCCCAGGGGCCCATTTATTGGGAAATTTGAACAATGCACTGCCTGAGACACAGTGAGGCTGAGCATATCTGGAGAGGTACATCACTCAGAGATGGTTTTACTCCTCAGGTGGAATGTCAACCAAGGAGTTAGTTCCTTGAGCCCTGAATGCTTTAGCTCTTTGGTGATGCAACCTGTTTAGTTCACCTATGCCTGGTGGTTTTACCAAAGTCTACAGCAGCACGGTTGGAGTGAGGTCCACTGTGTGCTGGAAGCTAACATTGCCTTCTGGGTGTGACCTTTGTCCTGATTGGAGCCCCTCCCTTTGGGTGAGTTCTTTCTCAAGGGCCCCAAGGCCATTTTCTGCAATACAGTCTGCACCCACTCTCTTCCCCACTGGGCATGATTTATATCTTTGACCCTCAGTGAAGTAAATACAAGATCTGAGCCTTCCCCCATCCAAAGTCTCCACCAAACCTTAAGTAAACCGTGAGTACACCCAAGAGCCCAGCCCAAATTCATGCAAATGGTTATCTTTGGAGAAAGGGTAACACTATTCACCCAACACACTAGTACCTGAGCCCCAGGAACCCAGTCCAGTAGGGATGACCTTACAAGTAAGCTCTTGATAAATATTGTCAAACTGGGGGTATAGACATTTTATTATGCACCTAGAATATTTTGACGGTGGGTTAGCTAAGCATCTGGCCCAGGTCCTTAACGCTGTGAAGGCCTGTCGTCCTACAACTCGTCCTGAGTTTTTTGGGTGAACTATCAAAGGTAGTTTATAGTCACATAAGGGCAGAAGCCTAGAACTACCCGCTACTCACTGCCCTATCCCCCAGATGACTATCAAACACAAAATTCACATTCAGCTACTTTGTTGCATTCGCTTACAGAAGCCATCGGCCCAGTTTTTCTCCTCCTCAACTCAACACCACACGGAACACACACCTCCCCCTCTCCACACCACCCCTCGGTCACAGTTGTGAGGCCTGTTTTTAGCTCTCTAGTCAGCACTTGCCTCATAGGTGTGAAAGAATCAGTCGGAGCGGAACTAAAGAACACCGTTCTAGATGAGACACATGTAATTGTTCCTTCCACATTTTCTCTGTCAATTCTCGGGGGAATGAAGTTTCAAAATTGCCTATTTTTATTTATGAGTCGGTTATGTGACTGTTCCTGTCTGATGTGAGATACATCAGGAATAAAGAAGGCACGAGCATCACCTGTCCTCTGAGTATTTGCACACCAGGCTGTGATGTGGAAAGGAGGTGAGAAGCTTAGAAGGAAAAGAAAAAGAAAAGAAGGAATAGTATCAAAGCCACATTTGCCCATAACAAAGAGTATTAACCAAATGGAGGGTGGGCAAGGGCATGGGAGAGAAACATTTATTAAAATGTGACAAATATCTACTCCGTGATACATGAACAGATCCCTTTCTGATCTATTCTTACAGTTGAAACCCATCTCAAATTATCACCCCTCTATTTTAAT